CCGAATGAGTAGCTAACGTGATCCCAGTTCCAAAGAAGGATGGAAGGGAAAGAATATGTGTCGACTATCGAGATTTAAATAAGGCAAGTCCAAAGGACGACTTCCCTTTAACACACATCAATATTTTGGTAGACAATACATCAAATCATTCACTTCTCTCGTTTATGGATGGATACGCGGGATACAATCAGATTCTCATGGCAGAAGAAGATATGGAGAAAACAACATAATTAAGATTTCAATGCGATAAGTGTTTGCGAATGGCTCATGAGAAAAGGGATAGGGAAGGCAAAGTACAAAAAAGAAATAAGGCTCCACCACAATGAAAGCATAATTTTGAACTGGCAACAAACAGATAATGGAAAGGATAGATGAAATTCAATATAATTTACTACAGAAAATTGGGCAAAAAAAAACAACTACTGTAATTAAGATTACCATTAAGCTAACTCAAAGCCATCTTAATCATGTTTAAACTAAGAAAGAAACTAATTCAGTATTTGCTCTACCAGTGATTTATTTTACTTGCTTCCATATATTAAAGTACCAAGGTGGTTCTTGTGACGGTGGGTCAAATCATGTTGCCTAATATATACCTTGAGATCAACTCTTGCCAAAATTATAACAGCAACCCAAATGATTTCTAATACATGCGACATTTCAAAAAAAAAAAATACTCAAGACCAAAGATACTGAAGTAAGGTAAAGAAAATTCCCATAATACCTATCCTCCTCACTTCAATCATATCAAATTCTTGATCAGTATAAAAGCCTCCATGTGCAACGAGTATAAACTTACTACATAAAGGAATACCAAACCAAAACAGATAAATACCACCTAAATAAAAAATGTAGTTGTAAACTTGTGATATTGTTAGATTTCATTACTATACTATTTTGACTGACTTACACTATCTTATTGACAATAATTTCCGAAAGATTGAGATAACAAGTACATGGAAAACTGACAATCAAGCTATCAAAGCTGGAAAACTAGAACTTTCAAAAGTAGATCCGTCTCTTTGGAGACATTTGATAAGATAGATTAGCATGGCCCCTGCGCAAGGATGACACAAACAAATCGAGAAAAAAAAGGTAGACCCTTTTCCTTTCTAAAGTTAACACATCCTACTAAGATGATCAAATTAAAGATTTTAAAACTAGTTTCAATTTTACACAACAATCTAGCACAAAAAACCAACTACCCAAGAATCAGAATAAATCAAACAATAAAATTTCACAATTTAACTCAATAATCTAACACATCAAAACTTTCACACAAACTCAAAATTATCAGAAACAAAAAATTAATGAATTCAGAAAAGTTTACTAACTTTTGAAAAAAAAAACACAGAGAAGATCCAAAATCAAAACCATCTTCAATTATTATCAAGGCCAACAATAGGTGGATGATAAGAAACCACTAAACCATATTATTCCGTGACTCCATCATCTTTCCATTCCTACCATTGCTAAACTGATTATAATTAAGATTATTCTAATTATGCTCAAACCCATCTTAATTCAACATCCTTGCTCTGTGGAACGCTTAATCATTATTTTCATCCTCCTATTCAAACCCTAACCCAAAATTTGAACCCTAATCCTAGCAAATTTAAAGCAGCAAGAAATAAAGAACAGCTAATTACAATTCACAAAGTAAAAAAAAAAAAAAAAAAAAAAACTCAATTCATAGAACTGTAGTTTATTTTTTATCGAAAAATCAAAATAATAAGTAAATAAAAACGAAATCCCCAAAATAAAAACAATTCATAAATTAAAATAAATAAGGAATCCTAAATCGAAAAAAAAGCATAAAACATACAATTGGAGGTGCGAACTGATGGCGCGGTTTAGCAGGAGGGCAATAGAGGTGATGGTGCGGCTTTCGAATGGTGGATGCGTGACGTCGGCTTGAGCGAGGTGGTGAAAAAAAATTTCACCTTTGATGCCGTGAAAATTGAAGGAGATGAGAAGTTGTGGTGGTGGTGGTGGTGGGAAGGGAAGTGTTTGTGAGAAATGAGGAGGAGAGAGAAAACTAGTGATGGTGTTGGTGGTTTGAGTCACTTTGAGAGTTGAGGAACAATATGTACTTTGGGTTAGGTAGTACTCCGATAATTTAAGTGTGAATTCTCGTGAGATAATTAGTTATAAAAAAAAGTGTGATTTAAAATTAATTGGGTAGTTAGATATTTTTATATAAAGTAAGTTATTTTTAATGATAAGGACCAAGGCACAAAATAGTAAAGAGGCAAAAATATAGGGACATCTAAAATAGAAATCGGGGTAAAAGTAAACGGACGTAGTCACGGAGTGAGTGCGAGTTAAGGGTAGCGGTTCATATTTAACTAATACCTCTATAATAAGTTAAGGTAATTGGTTTTTGTAAACTATTACCTTTTGAGGCTGGATTTTTCATTTTTTAGTGTTTATACAAGCTACTAAGGTGTAGTGGTTTTTAATTAAGGATCGGTAACTTATTTGAGCTATATTTCTATTTTTGTTTTTTACTACTTGTACTTAATATCAAAGTGTTACAATAAAGTGTTACTTAATATCAAAGTGTTACAATAAAGTGTTACTTAATATCAAAATGTTACAATATAGTGTTACTTAATATCAAAGTGTTACAGTCAAATGTTGCATAATATCAAAGTGTTATAATAATGTTACTTATGACCTAGCTAAGTTTCTAGCATTGAAAGTGATGCCATGTGGTGTTACCTTAGGTCAGTTGTGTAGGAGTGAATTGAGAATACAAATACAACAACAGAAGGGGATGAATTGGGCGAAGACAGTCAAAGTCAACCAAAAGACACAATTTTGCGAAGAAAAATACAAAAATAAACAAAATTGGGCATATACACACAAGAAAAGGTACAAAGTAAGTACCTTTATAGCATGAAGTTGTAGAAACAGCATGACACAACAATAATAGTGGTTCGAGAAACCAAACAGAGAACAGGGTTTCAAATTGCAACCGAGAAAGTAAGAAAATTCATTGAAAAGGAAAAATAAAAGAAAACAAGCAAGCACAACACGAAAATAAAGCAAGAACGAGAATGGAGAGACGAGAACTTATAACAACAATGGAAGAACAACGCGCGTCTAGGAAGAAGACGAAAGGCGAGAAATTTGAAAATTATAAGGGAAGAGGAAGATGAGAAAATAAGGAAGGTAAAAAAGAAGAAAAAGAAGACAGTGAATTAAATAGGGGAATAAGTAGGCGGTTGAGCAAACAATAAAATCGAACCGCCATGTCTCAGTAAAAATAAAATGACCACTCAGATGGCTGATATATGTCCCATTCATGCAACACATTGTTCCCGCCAAAAAAAAAACTTCAGCGAGAGTAATGAAATTCTTCTCTGCAAGCTCGTCGTTTCTCAGACTTCAGCAGGAGTAATAGAAATTCCTCCATGCAAGCTCGTCATTTCTCAGACTTCAGCGGGAGTAATAGAATTTCCGCCCTACAAGCTCGTCATATCTCAGACTTTAGCGGGAGTAATCGAAATTCCTACCTGTAAGCTCGTCATTTCCTAGACTTTAGCGGGATTAATTGATTTTCCTCCCCGCAAGCTTGTCATTTCTCAAACTTCAGCGGGAGTAATCGAAATTCATCCCTGTAAGCTCGTCATTTCTCAGACTTCAGAGGGAGTAATCGAAATTCCTTTCTGCAAGATCGTCATTTCTCAGACTTCAGCGAGAGTAATCAAAATTACTCTCTACAAGCTCGTTATTTCTCAGACTTCAATAGGAGTAATCAAAATTCCTCCCTTCAAGCTCGTCCATTCTCAGACTTGAGCGGGAGTAATCGAATTCCAGACAGAACAATTTAAGTCTAATAAAAAAATTTCCCCTAGTATTAGCAGAAATAAACGAACCGTTCTAGCGCAATGCATCTATACCAACCTGCAACATGGTCACTCAAGTCTCAGAATCACATCGCCAATCCAGAGACTTGGGGGGGCTAGTGGTATATGAGGAATTTTAGCTGGACAACCTATTGAGAACCGGCCGATAAGACCATACGCTCAGAATAGCTGGCATGAGCGACCTCATACTACCTCTTGAGTAGCTAGTTGTAGGGGATAGCTCCTGCTGAGCTATCTCCTATATCCGGAACAATTATGAAAGGGGATTAGCCGTGCAAGCAAGAGCCGACATGACTGACCTTATACCACCTCTTGAGGGGCTAATTGTATAGGATAGCTCCTGCTGAGCTATCAGCCGGCTCCCAGATTGGCCCCCGAGGTGCGCACTCACAGTTGGAAGGATAGTCAATGGGGCTTCTCATCCCAATAGCGTCAGCCCGTAGGCTAACCAAGTACGACTATCCACAAAGGGGATCGTACTCCTATAAATAGAGGACAAAGTACAACAGAAAGGAGGTTAGACACACAAGTTACTACACTCTCTATATCTTTCTAAGTACACTTTCTCTCTCTAAACACATTCTAACTTATGCATCGGAGGGGGGTTCCTCGAGCCACCCCTCAATGGCAATTTTCGTGTGCTGCCTTACGTAGGTCGTCGATGGGACCTAGCTTGTGCAAGTAGAACCCTTGCATCCACACCTGGAACAGAAGTCGGTCAAACATATAATGAGAGGAAAAGCAACAAATGCAATCAAAATCACTTAATAGGCTATTTCCTAGGGTCAATCTAGACGCCTCTACAAATGACTTCAAAGGAAAATCGCAAATTGAGATTAATCAATAATCATAGTTTCCAAATCGATTGTTCGTGTCATTAAAACCTATTATGCAATCTAGCACGATAGTTGAGGTTGATCACTCCTCAAGATAGCATACACATGCGCAAATGTCACTAACCAATTTTATTTTTTGACAAACGCTGCAAGTTTTATTAATAGGAAGAAACAAATTAGTGTACATCAAAATCAACAGCAGCAGCTACACTAGGGGGGGCCTCCTCAATCCACACCCTTAACTCATTATAAACTCTACTAACATTATCCCATTTGTGAGCAACCCCATTCACTGTTTCCCCACATGAGAAAACTCAATAGAAGAACAAAGGCTGCCAAGATACAAAATGTCAGAAACAATACTACCCAACGTTGAGGTCTCTCGAATGTTGTTCTTCAGCTTATGACAGAGTATTGAGGTATCCATTTCAAGCAAAATTTGTAGTAGTCCAGATTCCATAGCAATAGTCAGAGCATGTCTAGCTGCAAGTGCTCCTGCCACAACAATCTTGAACTCACCCTTCATCGTGCAGCAGGTCGCAGCCATCACATCCCGTATCGAATCTCTCATAACAACCCTTAAACCCACCACATTGGCATTAAAGCAAGTTGCATCAGCGTTAACTTTGTAGAAACCAAGTCTTGGAGGAGACCAGGTTTGGATAATTTGATCAGAGTTACCCACAACGCCACGCTTTTCATTAGCCTTTGCAAATTCACCCACTAACCCATATGCCTTCAACATAACATCAACAATTTCAATCTTGCGTTTCTCAAAGACGAAAGCATTTCTTTTAAGCCATTTGCCCCACAAAATACACCAAAATAGATCCCACCTTGTTTTCTCTTTGAAATTAGTCACAAGAGAATAGTACCACTCACAGAAAGAGAGCGAAGAGGAGCAGGGGATATCAAGCCTAAGAGGGGAAACATACCATACAATATGAGCCTCATGGAATTGAGCTAAAGCGTGTATCAATGATTCTTCCGTCTCCCCAAAACAAGAAAAATTGCTGTCAACTTTCATGCAACGCTTCGCAAGGGCACCCCTTACAGCAATACTGTTGTGAATAACTCTCCACCCAAACAGCTTTATCTTGGATGGAACCTTCGTATTCCAGAGATTATTGTAGATTTTAGAGCTAGGAATAGATGATGTCGCAGCATCATCCATCGACTTTGCTTTCATCTCAACAAAATAGGCACTACGAACAGAGAAATCCCCATTTTTTTAGTGATGCCACATCCAAACATCATCACCACCATAACGAGCAACCGGGATTTTCCGAATCTCCTCAATTTCCCAAGGCAAAATATTTTCTTGTAAGGCTTCCATATACCACTCACCTTGGTTAAGAAGTTATCCCACAAGCTCCGGTTTGTCACTTAGTCTGATCTGCGAAGGCAGAACCTGAAATGAAGGGAGCGTAGGCACCCACAGATCAGACTAGATTGCAGTCGTCATCCCATTTCCCACCAGCTTTCTAGCACCCCTTTCTACAAGGTCCCTGGCAGAGAGAATAGATCTCCAAGAGTGAAGCTCAAATTTGAGGTAACTTTCACTGTTAAAAAATCAGCTTTTGGGAAATACTTCTGCTTCAAAATTCTCACCATTAGAGTGGACGTATTACTCAGGATCCTCCAAGATTACTTAGCAAGAAACGCTTTATTGAAAGCTTGTAAGTTCCTTATCCCAAGGCCACCTTCCCTTTTAGAAAGAAAATTATGTTCCCACGTGATCCAAGCTATCTTACGTTCCTCCTTTTGTTGCCCCCAGAAAAAATTCAGACACAATCTTTTAATTCCATTCAAAATTCTTGTCGGGATTTTAAAATATTGCATCGCATAAGTAGGAATTTCTTGAGATACCTCTTTGATAAGGACCTCCCTCTCGGCTTGAGAGATAAATCCCCCTTTCCACCCCTTCAATTTTTTCCAAACCCGATCTTAAATCATAGGAAAAAACCCTTTTCTTAGAGCTACCAAGATAAGTAGAAAGCCAAAGATATTTGTCATGTTCCTCAACTGCCTTAAAAGATAACTTCATCTGAAGGATATTTTGCTTTTCTGGCTCAATGTTTCGGCTAAAAGAGACTTTGGATTTTTCCATGTTCAATTTCTGGCCTGAGGCAATTTCATAGGTGGAGAAGATATCCAGTATGCTATCTACCTCATCTTCGTTAGCTCTTACAAAAAGGAGGCTATCATGGAGATTGGATTAACATGTTTGCCTACTTTGACCCCATGAATCTTCTTTTTCGACTCTACATCTCTCAAAAGTGAAGACAGCCCCTCCGCACATATAATGAACAAAAAAGGGGAGAGAGGGTCCCCTTGCCTTAGTCCCCTAGATGGAAGAAACTCATGAGAAGGTTGCCCATTCACTAATATGGAAAAGGAGGTGGAACTAACACAAGCCATAATAGATGTCACAAACGAGCTCTTGAAACCCAATTTCAACATCATACGTTCCAAGAAGACTCATCCCACTCTATCATACGCCTTGCTCATATCCAGGTTAAGGCCAAGATACGGTATTCCCTTTTTCTTTTTTCTTAAAAAATGAAAGCACTCATAGGCCACAAGAATATTTAGTGATGAGACGGCCAGGGACAAATCCACCTTGAGATTCATGAATAATATCAGGGAGCACTTTATTTTAATCTGTTAGCAAGTGTTTTATCCACAATCTTGTATAACACATTGCACAAGCTAATTGGTTTAAAATCAACAGGAAACTCACATATATCTTTTTTCGGGATAAGGGCAATATGAGTCTGATTGATAAAACTAATTTCCTATTCGTTATTCAAAATATTAAGCACACGATCAATCACATCATTCCCAACAATATTCCAGAAATTCTGATAAAATATAGCACACATACTATCGGGGCCAGGAGCTTTAGTAGGATGCATGTGCTTAATAGCTTTGACCACCTTCTTGCTTTCAAATGGAGCTTCAAGCATTTTTTTTTATATCATCCGTGATCATGGGACATACTTTGTCAATAACCGAGGCTATATCAACCAAATTAGCCGAGCCAAAAAGGTTCTCAAGTTGTCAAACAAGCATCTTGGAAATCTGGTCTTAAGAGTAAGTATTACCAGCTTCATCATGTAATTTTTTAATGCTATTCCTCTTCATACGTTGCTTAGTTTTAGCATGAAAATTTTTTATGTTTTTGTCCCCAACTTGAAGCCTATCTTGTCTACTTTGATGGCGCCAATACCTTTCTTCCTGCTCCTCTAACCCATCCATCCTCTCATTAAGGGCCCTCATCTAATTAAGAACTTCATGAGTCTGACTACACTCCATAAGAGCCGCAATTTGCTGCTTGCAATATTTCATTTCTCTTCCTAAATCACCAAACGTTTCCTTGCTCCATGATCCGAGTAAGCTGACAGTTCTAGCTATATTGGCAGAAATATTATCCCCTTCACCCCAAGCATTCCCTACTACATCAGCACACCCATCATCACGTAACCACATCTCTTCAAATCTGTAAAGTTTCCTTGGCTTTTTCTACTTCATGGAATGAATGCGATCCTTCAAGAAAAGCAAGAGAGGTAGATGGTCTGACTTTCTTTTCTCTAGATGTGAGACAAAGGAACCCAAGTATAAATCCTTCCACTCTTGGGTAGCAAAAAATCTGTCAAGACGTTCTTGTATATTCTCATCTTCTCCCTTATTATTATTCTATGTAAATTGGTGACCCACAAATCTAAGGTCATTAAGTCCACATGAATCAACAACTTGGCGCAAAATTGTAGCATTGCCAAATTTGAAATTAGCACCCCCCTTGGTTCTCCGAGGACCACAACATCAAGTTGAAATCACCACCACACATCCACGAAAAATTATTGGCATCTTGAAGAGATTCGATTAAGGTGCTAGTTAGTATTATTTTATCATCTTCTAGGTGGCCGTAAATTCCAGTAAACCTCCACACTTTGTCACCATCTGCAATAATTGCATCAATGTGATTTTTGGAGAAAGCACTAATGTCAACTTTCCACCCCTCCTTCCATAATAGAGCCACACCACAACTTCTTTTCCTCCCCCCTCTAGTACAACTAATAGAAAGCATATTACTCATTTTTATTTTTGTTTTGACTCTCTCCATTTCACCTTGGCTCAAATTTGTTTCTTTTAAGAACACCATGTCGTGATTTTTAGTAATCACAACACGCCTGAGCGCATTGACTGCCCGGGGACTCCCCAAACTCCTACAATTCCAAGAGAGGATGTGCTTCATTGACCACCGAGAGCCCATTGAGCTGGGCTCGTCACCTCATCCAAGTTTTTCACATTATCACCTTTCATCTCTACTACTCTTTTTTTCATGTTTAACAAGGTATCCATTTCGACAGGATCATCATCATTTCTCCCCCCTTCCCTCTCTTTCCAGACCTTACCAATCAAACATTCCCCTTGCTGCACATGATTCCCATCACCGGACAACAATAATACTATTACTTGCATTTTTTGCCATGTGTAGGGAGGGTGTTCCCATCATAGGGGATCCTTCCTTAGATGCCCATGGCCGTTTAAAAAGCTTAGTTATTTTATAAGTATTTGAATTCCTGACTGTTTCGGGGACCTTGAATTAGAATTGATTCTATCATTACGCTTTTTTGTAAGAAACAAGTAGGAATCGCCAATGATTTTTGGGAAAACCCATAAACCTCGTTCATGCCTTTATCCCATGTGGAGTTCATAGGATAATTAGCACAAATCAGTAGTGGAAAAAAGGCCAACCGTAACGGGAAAAAAGGGCTCATTCGTAACGGGCAGCATCCGTTACGTATGCGGCCGTTACGGTTGTCAATTGTTATTCGTAACGAGCACCGTCCGTTACGAATAATGGGTTATTCGTAACGGAAATTTGAAATTTCCGTTACGATTAACCCATTACTCGTAACGGACATTTCAAATGTCCGTTACGAATAACCCATTATTCCTGACTGACATTTCAAATGTCCGTTACGAATAATGGGTTATTCGTAATGGACATTTGAAATGTTAGTTACGAATACATCCTTTTTTGTATAAAAATAAGTTCTTATTCATAACGGGCACCTCAAACGCCCGTTACGAATAAGTGTTTATTCGTAACTGACATTTCAAATGTCTGTTACGAATAAAGTTTTATAGTAAATAATTAAATACTTATTTGTAACGGGTAACAAAAATGCCCGTTACGAATAATTGGTTATTTGTAACTGCCAACTTTCCTGCTCGTTACAAATAATCATTTAATTAAATTTTTTTGATTAAATTTCGACATCATGTATTTATATATAATTAATATATATTAATTAAAATCATGTTATAATAAACCTGTTCCTGTAAATAAACAATTATATCGAACAATCTTTCATAAAAATTAATACGACGTAATTTAAAAATTGAAGTAGTAAAACATTACAAATAAAAACTTGTATAAATTTATCCAACATATACAACAACATTAATAATATTACTTTGTTCTACTTAAGCTAATAGTTATGCATTAAATAAATATTTACTTCTAAAGAATTGCCCCCACTGTTCTCGAACCACATTCAACTCGTCAACATCATACGGGGCTGTCCTTAGACAAAAATCCTATTGAAAAAAAAACATATGAATGAGGTTACAAAATAAAAACAATCCATAATAAAAACAATCATTAGAATAAATGTGATGGTCCAAATAATAGAAATAAAACTCAAAATATAAAAATAAAACACATAACATCCTTAATTAAATTATATTTTGATTTCTATGAATTGAAATCATTTAAAAGTGAACTTTTACTCACTTTTGGGAGCGTATAGAGCCAAAAAGGATTCAAAATTGCCTAAGAAACTTCTATCTTTCCCATCTTTCATGTATTGGTTCAAATTAACACAATAAAACACATACCATCCTCAATTAACTTATATTTTGATTTCTATGAATTTAAATCAATGAAAAGTGAACATTTACTCACTTTTGGGAGCGTATAGAGCCAAAAAGGCTTCAAAATTGCCTAAGGGACTTCTATCTTTCCCATCTTTCATGTATTGGTCCAAATTAACATAATAAAACAGATAACATCCTTAATTATTTTAAATTTTGATTTCTATGAATTGTAATCAATGAAAAATGAACATTTACTCACTTTTGGGAGCGTATAGAGCCAAAAAG